TTTGACGCCGAACAACGTGGTTGTTACGGAATGGCAGACGGACCGTGATGGAGGCCGTGACTATCGCGGGGGATACAGAGGCGGTCGTGGGAGAAGCAACCATGTCGGGGCGCCCCGGCAGCAATCCCAGCCACCTCTGAACGGCAATGGCGTTGGCGACTCTACCGGGTCGGCTAACCCGTTTACGTATCATCCACCATGGCGAGGAGACGATCACAACCATGGCCAGTCCCGAGTTCGCAAGCAACGAAGGGCTGGAGGTTGTTTCGGATATGGTATCAAGCGCGACGACGAAGAAACCCTAGGAGCGGTCCGATTTCGCAACCGACAGCGGCCTGAGGAGGCTTTTGACTGCCGATTTCTGCTCATTCATGCAACTCGAGGTGATGATTTCCGGAGAACGGCTTCAGGTTTCAGCTCCAGTCATGAGTTTCGCAGACGAGGGCCGGATCACGAGGGCGTACCCTTCGCAGGTTTCGATTTGTTGCGGTGCCGCTGGGACGACAGGTCCGAGGCTGTCGGCGACACATACCGACGGCGAATGGAGGCGCCTGATTTCGACGAGTTGCACTTACCTGTGAGCAAATTCCGGCATGTTGAGGCGGGCTGGGGTCGGAACGATGTTCGTCGCGTCGCTGAGGACGCCGACGACTACCATGGTCACACCGCCTGGCCGCAGGAACAAACCCTAGGCGATTTCCGGCAGCGAGAACAGCAGAGGCCCGATGGAGGTCTAGCAGCGGCATGGGAATTTCACGGTCGACGCGCCGCTGAGGGTTTTTCCACCGCCGGCGACCATGATTGGCGACAGAACGTGACCGATTTTGCCGACAGCGAGGGCCGCGAGGCTCGACGAGGACAACCTGGGGCAGCGACCGGCAGTTTGGGAGATGTGCGGCGAGGCAGCGAGAACAAGACGGGATATGAAGGTGATCAATTTTTTGGATTTCACAGCAGAAGTATGGTACAACTACATAGTGAAGAGAATGAAGGAGGCGATACCCGTAAGAATTTTGGGGAAATTGTACGCAGCTTTTGGTATCGCGGTGTAGGAGATGAGCGCAGAGAAGCAGATTTTTCTTTCCCTCTTTTGGGCCTGCGCAGGGACGACCCAATTATATTTAGTGGTCCTAGGGGAGGGATGCATTTAAATCCAGATTATTGGGCATGTGAAGTGGCTGTGGAAATTGGGCTTGTACGGGGTGATTGTAGCAGCGAATTTGGTCCAGGGGTGGGCCCGTGTCGAATAAGAGTTTTGCGTCTGGTGGCGTGTACATGTGCCTTGATCGAGATTATGTTTGCGTTCGAGGTTGTTGGAAGACCTTCAACACTTGTGTACGATCGAGGAAAATGTCGGGGGTATTCTTGTCATGGGCACGACTCCAATGAGAACGAGTCGGATTCAAGGGCTAATCCTGCTCAACCGGGAGAGAATGGTGTAGAATAATAGTTATTAATATTATCATTATCTCTTATTTATCTTATTGAGTTGGTTAGGATAATCTTCTATCTTGATTAGGAGAATATTTTTTCTTGTTTATCAAGTTAGGAACTCTATTTATTATCAGTGTTGGATGGAATAATCGATCAGTTGAATATGAAATAAGAAATCTGTTCTTTTGTGTTTTATCGAGTGAGTACCTCGTTTTATCCTTATTCCTACGCTTCCCTACATCAATAACTTGATTTTTTCATAAAAAAATGTTTAACGAGATTTTCTTTTATTTAGTTTTTGTTATGGTTTTTATATGTATGATCACTTTTATCCTCGCATTTGCTTCGTGTTGAATATACCTTTTTTAAAGTCAATGTTTTCACCTTCTAAGAATTTCACTCACATCATTGACTTTTGACAATGTTTGTATCTTATAAAAATATATCCTGATAATATATTTATAATACTGCAGTATGATGCAAAAAATAAAAAATAAAATTTAAATAATAATCAAATAAATATGTAATGATGTCATTCCATGCAACACAAGTAATCATTTTGAGTTGATGTCGATTTAGGAAATGAATATAAGATTCACCTCTAGGTTCACTCGTTGAAGCTCGCTAAAGCTTGGATAGACTTGACTCGTTTAATACTATATTTCTAAACAATTGTATGTGAGTTGCAATCAAGTTCAACACAATTATGTAATTTATGAAAAATACAAAAAAAATAAAAAATTAGTAGTTCGTGAATACACTTACTTCAGTTCGTTAAATAAACAAGCTCGATAATTGTTCAAGCTCAATCATACAAGAAAATAAATGAGCCGAATTTAAACTTTCACGAGCAGAACTGAGTTGTTTTCGCGTTTCGAATAACAATTCTACAATTGATTTACAATTTTTAGATGATTATTTATTCATTTTTACTTACATAATTGTAACACTGCAAATTCTTTTTTTTTTTCTTTGTTGAATGGCTAGAGTTACTATAATAACTCGTGTCAATTTAATATTAAAAGAAAATAGTTTGATTTTATTGTTACTGGTTATGATATGAGATTTAGGAATCTTTCATACAAACGTAAAACTATAAGTGTATAAAAAGTCTAGACAACCAAACTTAACTTGAGTGGCAAGACGCTTTACTCATGACCGATAAATCATGAGTTTGAGTTACGGGAAATTGACACTATTGATCCTATTTATTAAAGAGAAAAAAAAAAAATATAAAAAGTTGATAAATGTAAAAAATAGAAAGTTTTAAAACGTTTATCATAAAAATTATATAAAAATCTGAAAAAAGTTATACGCAGTTCGCAAAAGTCATTCAACTTTTTTTTTTTTTTTTTAAAGAAAATATTTAATTTTTTTTTTAAGAAAATATTTAAAATAAGCCTTAAAAAAATAATGTGAGGTTGAAATTGATCCAAGCTTACTCAACAGTCAACACTTTCAGTGCGGAGAATCCGCTTCAGATGGCGAGATGCTCACACATTTTCTGCCCATGAATCAATCACTCCATCGTTGCAGCTAAAATGGGTTTTTTTCATAATATTCATACTAAAACCCCCCATTAATTTTATACCATTTGATTTATTTTTTTTTCTGCTTTATTCAAGCCATAGAGCTAGATTTATGGCGCCTCTTGCCGTGGCAGCAGCTGCGTTTTGTTCCATAAGCCATGGCTATGGCGTCAAGAAGCTCGACGATTATCTTACCAGAAAACTCAGTATCAGCAGGCAAGTCGCACTTTTTCTTTTTCCTTTTCAGTTCTTTCAAGGAAAGATTCGGAAATCAATTTTACTTCTTCGACTCGTCTCTTCAAAGAGATTTGGGTTTTCATGATTTACTCTAGCAAGTTGAAAATTTCAAGTTACTGTCAAACCGGGGGCAAAACGAGTCCGGTCCCACACAAGTGAAGCGCAACATAAGAGGGTTAGCCGAATGAAGCCAAAGTGAGGTTCCATCCCAAACCAATTGGTGGAAGGAGGAGTAGCCCACTAGGCTTATAAAGTAGGTTCATTTACCCGATCAATTCAATGTGGGACAACTCACAAGTGATATTCCAACAGTTACCCTGATCATTGTGGAGATTTTATATTTTTTATTATCGATTTTCTGTTCGTCTAAATGGTTCTGAGGAATTGTGTCCCATGACTGTCTTTGAATAGTTTGTTCTTAATAAGCCTTGTTTCTATCAGACCTGATGAGGTGATATGATTTAAAGGTAGTGTGATGACTAACATATAATTTCACCACGAGTAGCAATAGCAAGCTCTTGTATCTATCATTAGTGGTTGAGTATGTTAGGAGTTGTCCCACGTCGTTTATATTTGAAAAATAGACTCACCTTATAAGTCTAATGGTCTACTCCTCCTTCCACCAACTGGTTTTGGGGTGGATCCTCACTTGTGCTTCTTCATATGGGTTTTTCCTGTCTTGGTGCACTTCATGTTAGTGGGACCGCAACCGTTTTCCCCAGTTTCTTTCGCAGTAATCAAAACCATGAAGAAATTCAAGATGATCCTTTTTTGTTTCATTTGTAGCGGGAAGAAAAATGTTTTGAAAGATACAGAATATAATGTTGATTAGGAAATTCTCTAAGAAAGTGTCACTGACAGAGATGCTATAGGTTTTGGTCTTGAATTGTTAAGACTCTGCAAAAGCCCGTCTTCATTCTCTATTGGCTCGATTTTCATCTCGCTACAGCTACAAAATGCTGAACAATATAAGTAATGCTACATTTTTTTTTTTCAGGATTCATCAAGTATTACTTCTTCCAGATGCCTGTCAAAGGTCACTATGCACAAAATTTAATTTCAAGAAGGCCAGCATGAGGCAATTATATTCTCTACGGGGGCATTATATTAATTCATTTAAACAAAGAGCAGAACACTGTGGGAGTAATAACATTGAAGAAAACAAGGAAGAAAGCATCTCCAGGGTAGCTTTGATGTGGAGAGCTATCAAATTACCCATTTACTCTGTTGCATTGATCCCTATAACAGTGAGCTTTTTAATTTACTCTGCAAGAATGAGATTTATCCAACCGTGAAGCTCAAATTTTATACCGATATGCTCTCAAAGTTATAAATCAATGTATAACCATAGAAGGATCCCTTTTTTCCCTTAAAACATGAAGGAAAAAAATGTGAGATTTCTCGAAATAAAGAAATCAGTAAGTAGACGGGATTCTGGCCACTGGACATAAACTAAGTGAAGGCACAGGGGAATTAAATCCGAAAGCCCAACAAATTTCTTGGACTGACTCTCTTTTCCATTTAAATTCCCCTTTTAAATTTTTTACGTCGTCATTTACTGCTTCTCTTGCATACTGAAATTGATTATTTGGTCATGTATTTAAATTGAGGATGGAAGTTAATATTGTCTAATATTCAGCATAGTTCTGTAACTAATGCTGGTAATAGTCTCAACCGAAGGTCACATATTTTTTTTTTTTTATTTGACCATTATGTTTACGAAGGTTTGAATTTGGTGGAACTGGCTGGCTAAACTATTTTTCAATTTATCCTTGATAGCTAACATATTTTTGGGAAACCATTGATCAACAAACAGGTTGGAAGTGCAGCAGCATATTTGCAGACGGGCCAATTTTTTGGAAAGCGTTATTTAAAGCTATTGTTATCATCAGTTCTCATCATAACGTGGCTCAACTTAAGGTCAGGGCTTTATCTTTTCAGCATATGCATCGTTTTAATGAACGCTTGCCCCAAATGCATGCATTTTCACTGTGTAGGAGAATTCAGGATTGTTTGCAACACTTAAATATGTTATTAGCTTCATCTTAATGAAAGTCGTCTTAGAGTCTAATAGTTTACAAATGTAAACTATATATCAATCTGTATAGTTTAATCAAATTCTTAAAATATGGAAAATAGCACATTAGACTACTGAGTTTTGCTCTATGTTAGTCTTTAGGAACAAATAAATCACTGCTAAAATTTATTGCCCACACACCCCCTGAAACTTTATTCCACTTCTAGTTTCCAATCACAAACATCACCACCATCTAATACTCAAGTAATTTTCATCTGCGTTACAACAAAATGACTCTCTCTATTAGACTACATTAGACTATTACTCCTATACTTAATTTGAGACCCCTTCCGAAAGGACTCACGTTATAATTTATATGCACTAAAAATGTATTTCTAAAAAATGCATTCTAAATATGCATTTTGATGATCTAAATATGCATTTTGTATGAACTAAATATGCATTATGTATATAATTAATTTTAATATAATAAATATGCATTATGATGAATTAAATATATATTCTTTATTATCTTAATATGCATAATGAATGAACTAAAAATGCATTATGTATTACAGTAATTATATAATAAAAAAGAATTATTATATCAAAATAATTATACAATAAATATTTAACAATAATATCAACTATGTATGCACTATGATGAACGAAATATGCACCACATATGAACTAAATGTGCATTTTGCATGAATTAAATGTGCATTTTATATAATGAATTCAAATATAATTATTATTATTATTTTTATTATATAATTAGTGTAAATTTCGATTCATTGGTGTACACAAATAAATGGCTATGATTGGACCTCACATGAACTAATTATGCACCATGATGTACTAAATATGCATTATTTTTCTTAACTAGTAAAACATATATTGTTTAAAATTTTAATATTAGTCACGATTTAGAGATATAATGGCTAGAATCCTTGCAACATTTTTGCAGCTATGTTGATCGTAAGCCTCAATTTATTCGTTAATAGGTGAGTGAAATAAGGAATTTCTTGATGAACCCACATTCTTTTCCTTAAAAAAAGGTGGAAATGAGAATAATAAATTAACTAGAATTTTGGAGAACGAGAATCGAGAGTTGCCGTGAAAAAATGTGTGTGGATTAGAAAATTAGAATAAAGACATTAAATAAAATAAAGAAAAAGAGTTAATTGTGTTTAGCAATATGGTGAGAGGTAGTTGGTGTGCGGTTAAAATGACAAGTAAAACTAGTTTAGTATTTTTCTTGACCAAAATGTGCATAAAAGTGATGAATGTTACATTTATCCCTTACAAAAA